GTGAAGAGAAGTGGAAAGGACTCATTCTTACAATTAATCCAGGACATCAAATATGTATATGCAACAAATTAAGAAATAAACAAATTATAAGTCAATACGGTGTTGGTAACATAGGAAATAACTTTGAAATGGTAAAAAAATTTTTTTCGTGTCGCCAAAAATCCTTCTCGCAATCATAATTTTTATAAAAACAGAACCTATTTTCAAAGTTTCAGCCAATTCGAAGAACGGGGCTTTTCGGAAGTTTCGCCGCCGTAGCGAAAGGGTTAACTTTGTTTTTGACAAACCTATAATTAGCAACACACGATTTCTAAAATTTTGCCACCGACCTTTTATTGTTTCGGATGAGATAATCCATCCGGGGCCTACCATGTAACTTGGAGTTATTCTTTATGTTTGTTGTGCAAGTGTTGTGTTGTATTATTTATTTTGTTACAAAATATATTGGGAATGCGAAGTATATAATTTGTAATAAACGGTCTATACAAAGTTATGATAAAAAGATGACTTTTCGTATGTGCAATTACGTTTTGAAAGAGAGAACTCGGTTTTTCTTTTCTTTACGATCACTTATACCTTTGTTATTTATGTAATTTCCAATGGATATAGAAAAATTAGCGTCACTGTTTTATTCTCTATTTCTTAATACACTGCTTTCTCAAATATGTAAATATTGCTTTTCCTTTGGTTTTTATGAGCCTTTCTCCAAACCCTAGTAAAATCATGAAATTCGGCCGGTTATCTTCGTATAGGCACCTCTTTTTCGCCCGGCACTAAAAGGGTTAAAGATATGAATTCTCACAACTATAGTTGTCAATTTGTTTCGTGAGACTACGTAGATAGTAAATGATCGACAAGTATTCTAAAACGATATCGATTGTTAATTAGATTGTGAGATGTCGAAGTCAAGAAGTTACTAATTTTTGCGAAGTGGGAAGCACAGCAGGAAGTCCTGTTGCGGTTAAGCTATTTGAAACAGATAAGTAGGGTCTGGGCAGGGGCGAACGGCAGGCTGAAAATGGACAATATTTTCCGAGACACTTCTCCGCGTTCGCCAAGGTACATATTTTTATTGCATCTGTAAAGGTTTTCAATTTATAATATAAATTATCAGGCAAGATCCAATTTGTTCCTTTAATCTTTAATTTCAATGTAGGATATAGGTTTTAGAATAGGATAAGATTGGACATGTTTTTAGCATAGGATATAAATATTTGTACTGTACACGAATTTCACTTAACACATGGAATATATTTTAAAGTTCCATTTGCTTCTTAATGTTATAACACTTTGAATTAAAAATTATCTATTTATCGCTGTGCTTTCCCTCATTGAATTTACTTCGTAACTGATAATACAACTTGGAAAGAATTTATGCCTAATCTGATGCGAAAGCATTTGAGATTGATGCAATCAATATTTCGCTACACGTGAAACATGATTAGCGCAATAGGAACTTCATTACAGGCAAGATGACAAGAAGATACGTTAGAAGATGAAAGAAAGACAGCTGTTAAAACAGAGTATGCTCTGTCAGTAGAAATAATTCATACCACGGAGAACTGAAACGGATAACAGCTGCGAAGTGAAGCTAGGGGATGGAAAGTAAAGATAGAAAATATCGTAAATAAAGCACAAAATAATTATTTATTAGTGTCAAAATATTAATAAACAAGTAGTAATATAGTAAGTAGTAAATATTACAGTATTTAAAATATAAATAAATATAAAATAATATAAAATAGTAAGTAGTAAATATTACAGTATTTCCCGTTTTGTTACACCGTTAAAGTTATAACGTACGTTTTTACAAGCATCTCTCAAATTCGTTAGATCCCTGTTACTGAGGTAGTTTAATATTCTTTGAATCCAAAGTGAATCATAAATTCTACTGAAGTAACGGCGGAAAAATATAACGCTCTCGTCAAACAACTCCTTTCGTATCATGCCTCTGTTGAAACGACCTTTTATTACGTCTTCGTACGTAGGAAATTCTCTCTGGTAATTGCCCCGTTGCAAAACCTGAACAACATCTTCATTTCTCGCGTATGATGCTATTTGGTCTATGCGTTTTGTTAAGATATCATGGAATGTTAGAAAAGTATTGTTAATTTTTAAGCTTTTCATTCTCTTTATCTCTTCAATACATTTCTTCTCAAACTGAGATTGCCCGTTTAAATCCCTAGTGAGATTAATATTCTCCATATTTCCGTTATTCATGTCCAAACTAGCAATCTGCATTTTAATTAACTGCTTTTGAGTAATGGAAAAATTGTTACGATCCATATGTCTATATCTAGAATAGGTAGAGTGGAACGCTGTTTCATCGAAATTATTAACAATGTTTACGTCAGCATCATTTTCTATGAGAGTTAAAACGACTTCGGACTGATCGGTATAGGATGCAACGTGTAATGCAGTATTACCAGATTCATTTTTACAATTGACGTCGACGCCCGAATTCAAGAGAATTTCCACGATACGCACTTGACCACATTCAGCGGCAAGATGTAACGCTGTCCATCCATATACATCTTTGTCATTCACGTTAGCTCCTTTCTCGATTAACAAGTAGCAAATTTCTTCTAACCCAACTTGCGCAGCAAAATGGAGCGGTGTCGCATCACATACAGATTTACAGTTGACATCGGCACCCTTATCTACGAGGATTTGTACGATATTTTGGTGTCTCTCCAGAATGGCTAGGTGCAGCGCCGTTAATCCATCTCTTCTTTTTTCGGCACCTACGTCAGCTCCTCTCTCAATTAGCAACCTGAAAATTTCTTCGTGTCCTACTCGCGCAGCAAACTGAAGCGGTGTATCGTCACATTCAGATTTCCCGTTGACACCGGCACCCTTATCTACGAGGATTTGTACGATATCTTGGTGTCTCTCCAGAATGGCTAGGTGCAGCGCCGTTAATCCATCTCCGTTTTCGGCATCTACGTCAGCTCCTCTCTCAATTAGCAACCTGAAAATTTCATCGTGTCCTACTCGCGCAGCGAAATAAAGTGGTGTCTCGCCCCATTTAGTTTTCGAGTTGACATCGGCACCCTGATGTACGAGAAGTTTCACGATATCTTCGTGTCTCTCCTGAATGGCTAGGTGCAGCGCCGTTAATCCATTTTTGTCTTTGGCATGCACGTCAGCTCCTCTTTCGAGTAGCAACCTGCAAGTTTCTTCTAGACCTAATCGCGCAGCGAAATAAAGTGGTGTCTCGTCCCATGTAGTTTTCGAGTTGACAGCGGCACCCTGATGTACGAGAATTTTCACGATACCTTCGTGTCTCTCCTGGATGGCTAGGTGCAGTGCCGTTTCTCCATCTCCGTTTTCGGCGTCTAGGTCAGCTCCTCCCTTAATTAGCAACCTGAGAGTTTCTTCTATTCCTACTCGCGCAGCAAAATGAAACAGTGTCTCACCCATTTCAGTTTTCAAGTTTATATCGGCACTCTGATCTACGAGGATTTGTACGATATCTTCGTGTCTGAATGACTAAGTGCTAGCATCGAGGAAAGATTACTAAAGAGTGGCACAGGGATGATCCCTGAGGGATCATATAATTTTTTCCTTTGCCGGAAAATGGGGACGACGCGACCATGGTGGGGACTGGTACTTGATGGGGGTATGCTAGACATGGTCAGCGAAGGCGCATGAGGGGGCTCGAAATACGGGCGAAAAAGAGGGGAAGTGAGGCAAAAATTGTGCGCACCCTGGGTGGCTCCCGTTCTTAACCTGGCCACACTGCGGTAGCCGCGATCCGCTATAGCTTGGACTCTGTGCTTAAACTGGACAGACAAGTTCGATGAAATATATGTTTCTCTTCCCAATTTGTGGATCTTATATTTTAATTTGATTACTATTATATTACATGTATTTGTTTATATTGAGTTTATAAAAGGAATTGGACTTTATGCAAAATAACATGTTTATCAATGTAATTGAAAAAACAAAATGTAAATTTTCATAGAAGAATAATGTGATGTACTATTTATCGCACGTACCTAAGAACAG